AAAACAAACATGGATCTCCCACATTCCAGGTGAATGCCTGACCTACTGGGGTACCGGTTTTAAGGGGGGAAGAAGTCAGTGCCACTTCTACCTCCACTTCCTCTTCCAGCCATTTCAGAATGACCAAAACTAGTCAGATCAAATTTGTGAATAGTTTCAGGTCAATCAAATCTACATTTTTTTTCTTGAATAAACTTTTTTCTGAAAAAATATCTCCCAGTTCCAACAGCAAGTTACGGAACTGTCCAGCTTCAGGAGAGTGGGAGACAAGGTTTCCCACTTATGTTATCTGTCTCAGAGATCTCTCGCAGTCTAGCACAATGTTGCAACAGTAGTACACATGACACAAAACGCTGGTGCAAACTAAGTTTGTCGAACACCTTACGTCCAGAGATCACCTTCACTCCCTTCTCCCTCTGGTACAGGACTGGAAGCATGCTGGACCCCTGGGTCCAAGTTGGCTGAGTCAAAAGCCTATACATAATGATACATCAGTCTCCTCCATTCAATTATTTCTTTATCTGGGCCTGTAATTCATGGAGCTGTTTGATTAATTATTCAAATTAATAAATCTTATCATTTTTGTTCCTCTCCTCTGGACTCTCTCCAGTTATTTCACATCTATCCTAAAGTGTGTTGCCCACAATTGGACACAATACTCTAGCTGAGGCCTCACCAGTGCCAAGTAGAGCGAGACAATTTCTTTCAGTTTCTTACATAAACAATCCTGTTAACACACCCAAAATATTAGCCATTTTCACAACTGAATCACATTGCTGACTAATATACAATTTGTGATCCATTACAACCTCCAAAAACCTAAGTATCGAAACATAACGGGCACTTGTAATAGCGCAACACACACTGACTGCAAAGCTTTTATGGAAGCCAAAGCAAATTACACTCAAAATTTCTCCCAGGAACATCACCACCAAATTATATAAACACTTGCGCAATCTCACCATGGAGAAAGATCATTCACTCAGTGCAGTCTACTCCATTTCTGGTCAGCTAATCAACACAAAAGCTGAGTGCATGCCACGCTGAAGTGAATATTTCAGCCAACTGCTAAATGCACCAACAATTTCTTTGGTCCCTGACATTAAGGCCATTGTTGAGCTGACCCACTCCACACAAGATGATCCTGGTGAATTCACTATTAACAAAATACACAGTGATATAAAGAAGCTTAAGGGAAATCAGGCTGCAAGAATCTTTGAAATTCCTGTGTAATTGTTAAAAAACACATGACCAGTTATTCTTTTGTGGCTGAAGATGCTGTTCAATATTATCTGGAGAATAGAGTTGGTCACATCCATATTTAGCAAAAAAAAGCATAATTTTACCACTTTGGAAACATAAAGGCAGAAAATGTAAGTATCATGGCATTCTTCTTCTATCCATCACAGCCGCTGATATCTTAAAGAGCAAGAGAAGACCACAACAAGCTGGCTTCACTCCTGGCCATTCCACGACAGAGCAGATCTTCACATTGTTCCATCTTATCAAGAAGGTACAAGAATTCAAGAGCCCCATTGAGATTGTATTTACAGATATCAAATCTGCATTTGATTCTCTTGACCAGAAATTAAGTACATTTATTTTACACATATGCCTTGATGATAAAAACTTCACCAGTCAATTTTGCGGATGCCATAGCTCTAGTTGTTGAAGTAGCAGACAAGATAGTTGTGTCACTTGACGCCCCGGAAAGCTCAGTGGCAAAAGTTGGCCTGAACATTAATTGAGGTAAAACTTCTGGTCAGAGATTTTGAACATGCTGCAGATTCCAGCAACTTCATGGGTGACCACCCAGTTAAGATTGTCAGTGATTTCACCTACCTTGGTTTTCTTGTCAATAACATGGGCAGGATCGAGAGAGAACTTGAAGCCCACACTGCAAAAGGTTCTTCAGTAATGGAGGCCTCACCAAGAACATCTTTCACAAACCAAATACCATAAATAAAGAGAAGAAACTGAGGATATATAATGCTTTGGTGCTTGGTGCTTTTTGAGGTGTTTTTTCTACCTGTCTTAAGAGAGGCTGCCAATCAAGAATTTTCCAATATTTGAAATGCCACCATCTTCTCTTACTGCAAAAGAGGTTGAATCCAATATTCTGACCTATGGACTGAAACATGGCACCTCCTTGTCAACGACTGAAAGGAAGCTGGATACCATTCAACTGAAGCATCTCTGAATGACTGAAAAACATCAAATGGAACAAATTCAAGTCAAACTAAGAGATCCATTTTCTAACTAAACAGGTCCCGTACTCTCTCAAACGGTCACCCAGCACTCTCTAAGGTGATAGGTCATCTGCTCAACATTCCTACCAACTTCCACATGAAAATCATCTTTGACTTTCCATCAATAAAAGCAGGATGGAAGAGACCCCCTGGAAGATCAAAAAAGTGACAACTGGATGGCATCAACAGACATCTGTCCCTCACAGGCATCCTACCCCAGATTTGGCTCAGGACAGAACATCATGTAGGAGCATAATGCAGTCAGTGGCCTCTACACTGTCCATGCAAAAGCATCAGAACTAACCAAACACCAAGTGCTTTTGCAGTGCTTTGTAAATAAAATTAATATTAAAACATGTTTAAATTTCAATTTCATGTTTAAATCATGATATATGATATATTTTATCACACCTCATTACAATGTATTACTGATATGCTATGATAAATTGGAATTAGAAACCTGATAGTAATAAGCAACCTACAATCTAGCTCCGTAAATAAGTGCATTAGGCTGTCTCAACTAAATGCTGCTCAAAGAGAAAAAGGCCTTTCTATAATTCCAGGGAAATTGTGTTCTGTTCTCTCCTCTCCCCCCAAACCCACCCCACTAAAGCCCTTCTTTCCACTTAGGGTCTCAGGAACCTTGCTTTTAGGGAGACCCCATCCTAATCATATTCCCATATACATTTTAGTATATAGGGGTGTAGTATTTCCCTCCCAAAGTTTTGGACCAATTTGTGTCAGTCGTTCTTTAAGCAGACAATATGCTTTTGCTGCCCCAAACTCCTGTAGGTTTGAAGTACATGTTGGAGGATTTCAGCTCTTTTTGCCAGCAGGAACACCTGATCATAAATGATCAGAAAACTAAAGTAATTTCTCCTAGCCACAGACTAGGCTCTATAAATGGAAGGTGGATATATTGAACCAGTCAGGTTTTTCCCCTATCTGGGTACTCATTTCACATATAATGGCCAATGGCATAAGAGAAGGTATATAGAGGAAATAAAGAAGAGAGTTTTAAGTTCTATTCAAATAATATTTCATTGGGTCCATGGGGGAAATTTAACAACTCTGGCTCTCAGAGTTTTCAAGGCTAAAGTCCATGGAAAGACCTGAGGGTGTTAGAATGCAAAACAAATTTTTAAGGAGAATATTCACCCTCCCAAATAGCTGCTTTACTTAGGGCAGAGACAGGGGAGAGTGCTATTTCAACTAAAGCTCACTGCCTTTATATTGATTATTGGCTGCATATTCAGCATATGAATCTACAGCATCTTCCAAGGTGTCTGAAGGAACAGCTTAACAAGACACTCCCTACCATTCCCCTTGCTTTTGCAAATCCGTTGTTCTTCATATTCCTTGGGCTTCTTAGAACTTGACCTGGCTTGGGTGTGAAATCTCTAATCAAGCTTAGAGCAGTAGATATTTGCAAACAACCAGACATGACAGTTGTCCATACAATAAATATGTCTCCTTGGCTTTCTCATTTAAAGGGTATTCATAATTATGATAAATATTTTGAATAATAGGTTAAGGAGGGCTTATGTAAACAGCCTATTTGAAAGGGAGTTATGCTGGTATTGAGAGACATAATTGTCTTTGTCCATGGCAGTCTGGCTGGTTGAAGATTTTCCACACTATATACTTTTTTTGTAACCTGTACTGTCACTTGAGAAATAAATACCCCAGTTCCTGGCTTAGATGCCATTTACTGCATCAAAAAACAGAATACCTATTATCAAGTGAAAATGTCTTGATTATATTGGCTGTATTTGCCTGGTCAGCAACAAAAGCAAGAAAAAAGTATGTGAAAGAGAGACCTCTTATGATCTTGATGAAATATTGTCATTTAACCCTTGTTACTTTATTTTTGTATATAGTTTCAGAGGGGGGGAAGGGTGATTTTAGGAGACAAGTTAATCTCATGTTTTTAGTATTTGTATTTTTAAATTTTTATCCATTTTTTTTAGCTGTGTTGATTTTAAAACATGGATTTATCTTTTATATGTTATGATCTAAGGCTAAGAAATTTGATTCCCATATTAGTTTATATGGGCATACGGCTTTGAAATGAGGCTACCTTATTTAGCAATTATCTCCAGGCTGATTTGCAAGCTGCCATCACTCCTATAAACAGATTCCATTTACTTGCATAACTGGCTTGAATTATAACAGATCAATTAGCTGCTGCAAAAAAGGTGCTTTGTCTGGGACAAATGGTTTCTGGGCAGGGAGTTTTATGGGTTGAGAAAATTACTGCACTATTTTGTTTAATTTGTTTGAACATTTAATGGGACATCAAAGGTGCCTGAAGATTTTGGAAAGACATTTAAGATTAAAAAAAACAACAATCCAAATAAATAAGAATACACTTTGGCACTGCTGCTATTCACAAAGCTTTTGGACCTGACACACCAGGATTAATTTTCAGGCTTTTATTGCTTTGTCAAAATCTTAAAATTTCTCAGCTGTTCTTATTTAATATTTAAAGTAGGGATTTTTTTTTTAAATCTGATACCCCTGCAAAGTAAATTCCTGATTGTGAATGTAAAAAATGTCTGCTGTTGAGATTGCATTCTTGTTCTCCCTGTTATGTACTGACCTAAAGAGAATTTTAATACAAGCCATAACTGACTTTTATTTTACACAGTTACTTGAAACAAGACAAGATTAATAGATTTTAAGGCTAAAAAGGACCTTTATGAACATCTAATCTGACCTCCTGCATAACACAGGCAATAGAACTTCACCTGGTAATTTCTGCATCAAGCCCATAAGGGAATAGAAAAGTAAGTGGAAAAATGAGGATGTATTAAATGACAGACGAGGGAGAGGGAAAAATCAGAAGTCAGCTCATGATTCTGAGCAGCAGCAGCAGCAGGACAAACATCAAATTGGGTATGTGGATCAAGAACTTGAGAGGTAATGTCTGATCCTAATCACTTGGCTACACCAAATAGGAATTCCCTTATTCAGTTTGTATCTTTCTGACTGTTCATTAGACAAGACAAACAGATCGCTCCATTTACATCATTCTTTTTATAATGGTTAGAAATTTCTTGTTTTAATTAAAATATTTTATTCTCAGAAATACAATTCTCTGAGTCTTTTCTATGCTGACAGCCCACACACGACCTTACACACCATGTGCACAATTAACATAGAGCTTATGTTGTGTTTAGATCCTTGTGCTGATCCTCTACACTGGGATGAATGTCAGTCAAATGTATACTGTGTTTCTCAGCATTTCTGTGAACATACAAAAACTCTACTCCAGACTGAATCAATCAAAAAGGCAGTAGCAGGATATGAGAAGCAAAGCAGTGTTTTTAAACGCTTAAGTGTAAGTAAAAATCAAGCCACAGAAGGAAGTTACAAGATTGCAAAGTGCATTGCAAAAACCAGAAAGCCGTTTACAGATGGGGAATATATAAAAAGCTTTTTTCAGCAGTTTGGTGGTTTTGTTCAATGATTTGCCAAATAAAGATGAGATCGTATCTAGAATAAAAGAACTGCCTGTCTCTGCCAGAACAGTTGAGAGACGCGTAGGCGAAATGGCAGAAAATATTAACGAAAAGCAGACAACTGCATTAAAAGACACAGCAGTGTTTGGCACTGCAGTTGATGAGAGTGTGGATATAAACGAAGTTCCATGTTTGGCAGTTGTTGCAAGTTATTATGCTTCCGATGAAATCCAAGAGGAACTTTGTTGACTAAAACCACTGCATGGCACAACAAAAGGGGAAGATTAGCAGAAACGTTTGTAAACCATTTTGAAAGACTGAGGAGTTGACATCAGAAAAATATTTTGTGTGACAACAGATGGTGCTCCTGCCATGGTCAGAAAACAGAAGGGATTTGTAAAGTTACTTGAAGATCAAATTGGCCGCCTGACAGTCAAATTTCCCTGTATCATTCATCAAGAAAACCTGTGTGCTAAAATTTCTAATTCAGAGCTTAATAACGTGATTAATACAGTGGAGCAAATTGTGAATTTCTTGCTGCTTGATCTGCTTTGACTCATAGACAGTTTCAAGCACTGCTAGAAGAGATGGACAGTGCTTATAACTACATTCCACTTCATAGAAATATTCGGTGGCTAAGTCGTGGCAAAGTTTTGGTGTGCTTTGTAAATTGTTTTGATGCAATCAAGGCCTTTTTGTTGGAAAAAGGAAAAAACTACCCCGAACTGGATGATGACAAATGTAAGTGACTGTGTAAGTTTATGTTTCTAACTGACATCACCGCTCACCTAAACGAACTCAACCTCCGTCTCCAGAGTGCTGGGCAAATGGTTCTCAAGCTTTATGAAAGCTGGAAGGCATTTGTTGTAATAATAGCAGTTTTTTCTTGAGATATTCAAACTTCGACTTTCTGCTACTTCTAACACATAAAAGAGCTATTGACACGTTGCACTGTCAGCGTCGATGAGATTGGAATGTACATGCAAGAACTGGAATCAGAATTTTCTGACAGATTTCAAGATTTCCAGCGATTTGGC